TTTTTATTTAAATTTAAATCAGAAAGACATAATATATGTAGAAATGTTCCTTATATTGGGACGAAAGATCCGCGTCCTTAAACCAACATGGCATTATGGCATGATTCCATTGGTTGCAGAACAAAACAACCTACTTCGCAAGTAATTATACTAGTTCTTAAGCCAACGTGGCATGTTAAGGACAATTGATATTGGGACACCAATAAACTTGCTTTTAGTGTGTTTCCAATATGTTTTCATTTTTTTATTATGATTTTGTGCATTTCTAATATTTAATTATATTATTTTCTTAAATAAAACTGCGTGTTCATTCAATTATGTCTGTATATTTCTAATTTTATTTTAGCTTTTAACAAATTTTAAATCATCATTTTTAATAGTAAAGACTACGTTCAGATTTAAAAAATATTGGTAAAATTAATAATTTAGTAAATATTTATCATCTATTTTATATTCCGTTTCATATTTTAGAGTTTAATTTTGTGTGATATATTTAAATATGTGAATTTACATGATAAATTGTACCTATAAATTACATGTTTATTGGGATTTGTAACTATATATCTAGATTAGTATATTTAAATAAGAGAATTTTTGAGAAATACCCCTCTTTTCTATCCATGTTCAAAAATAGCCCTTTTCAAATATGAAAAATTATAAACTTTTATATGGTTGATAAAGTACATCAAGATCATCATTACTACTGAGAAACTAAATCCAAATATTTATAAGGTTTTAAAAGGTTCTAAACGATATTTATAAGGTTTTTATAAGGTTTTTAAAAGGTTTACACAGTTTTTATAAGGTTTTTAAATGATTTTTAAAAAGTTTTTAAAAGGTATTTATACGGTATTTATGAAATATATATATAAATTTACACACATGTAAAGATAATTTGTGTCTAGAAATATAAGCTTACACATATTTTTTTGATAAATTTCAAATTTTATAGTGAATTTTTTATAAAATTAGAAAAAGGGGTATTTTTAAAAAGTGGTACTGGAAAAGGGGTATTTTTGAAATTCCCCCAATAAATAATAATAAATTCAAAATTTTGAATTCTTTTTTGAATTTTATATTTTAGATATATTATAAATAATAATTATATTTAATTAAAATATGTAATTATTAGTTAAATATATTATTATTGAATTCCCCACCAGTGACGTTTGCAATAAAGAAAGAAGAATATGTCGACAAACAAAAGTTCTTCTAGTTTTCTAGCTTACCGTAAATCCTAGTCAACGTAAATAACTCAACCTATGAAATATATATAGATATATCATCCGTTAGTTCATTGAAGATGAAATAAATAATTATTTTTTACATTTCTTTTACATATTGACTCTATGTTATTTGTATTTGGTATATATATATTTATTTGGTTTACTATATTACAATCTTTTAATCCATAAGTAAAGATCTTGCATCAGAACTTCTTTTAAAATGCAAGCCACTTGCATCTATCATATGTACATTCCCTTTCTTTTATAATATTATTTAAAATATTATTTAAAATATTATTTAAAATATTGCGTTTTTCTTGCACGACCCACAGTTAAATCATATAATTTTATCCATTTGTCAATTTATCTTACACCATTGTGTACAATAAGTAAATCGAATCAACTGGAATGAGTTTTTTTTAATTTTAATATTAAAATATATGTTTGATGAGCCAATTAGATTCAAATATCATTACAATAGCCAAATACTTGTGACATAATTAGCTAAGTTACCCAATGAACGAATTGCATTAGATTGAGATGACAATAACATAATGAATCATTCTTTCTCCAAAGTGGTGATCAATCTTTGAAAATCGGGATCATAACTTATCACGGCGGATCATTTTCAATAGTGTGAAAGTTAATGTCTTCCTTCAAACATTGAGCTGCTGAATTTTTTTTGTGGGAGATTTATTTTCGACAATCGAGATCAATATAATATGAAAATCTCTTAGGCATATGGCGTAATATGAGATAAATTGTATAGTTTCCCATATATCTTCTCCATAATCGCTAAAATTGCCATAAATCGTAACCATGCGGAGGAAAAATCTAGGTTCAACTTTCTAAAGGGATTCAATGATTTTTTTCAAATATAATTGGCAAAATTGGAATGACTTTTATCTACACAATATAGTACAAGAAAAACACATCATGTAAAAAAAGTTTTATAGTGTATCAAATGATACATGATAATGTTTGAAAGATAACAATCACAAGTTTGGCATAGGTACGCTATTCATTAAACATTTTTATTACCATTTTAGATTTCATATATTTTAAAAATGAGTAATTTGTTCAAATTTATTTATATATATGATTTCAGATTTCCATGAATAAAAAAATTGGCACTTTAACCACATCAAATTAGTGTGTGTTGGCTATACCATTGGCTATACCATGTGGTTCAAAAAAAACAAAAAAACGGGGAAATCTAGTTTTTGGAAAACTTTACCCATTTTTAAAGAAAAAACACTTTTTAGTGGTTTCTTTCATCGTTAGTGTTAATTCTATCATTTTTCAATTTTTATTATTTATTTTTTCATTTTACAAAAATATTAACAAAAAACAAAAACCAAATATTTAGAAACTAAAAACTAAAATCCAAAAACCAAAAGCTATAAACCAATTTAAAAACTCACTCCATTCATGGCGTTAATTTCAAATTTATTTTCTTTTGTTATTTTATTCTGTTTAATGTTTAATGCTAAGCTACAAACATTATATGTCAAGATTCTAGATGCTAAGTTATGTTAGATTTTTCTTATTCATAAAGACTGTAATACCTAGTAAATGCTATAGTACATATTACTACCTAGTTAATAGATAATTAATCCCTCATGCTTATATTGGGTTTAGTCCTACAATAGTTTGAGTTCTAAAAAGACATTGAGAAAACAAATAATATATCTCAACTTTGCTATTATTATTCTTTTTTTTTTTTGTGAAAACCTACTTTTTTTTATAACTTTAGTAAACAAATTAAAGAATATTTCTTGAGTTCCATACATGGCTTAACTTCCAAAATATTTTAACAAAACAAATAATAGTTCTTTACTTTGTTATTATTTTATTTCTTTTGTGAAAATCGTTGCCTTGTAGTTTTGTATAACTTTAGTAAGTATTACCGAACAAAAACTTCAATAATGTATTATAATTTTTCAATATTATGATGGTAGTAGTAACTTCATATCATTATGTTCATTTTATGTTAAAAAGTTAAGTGAAAGGTCATTTAAGTTAGGTAATTGGTATTGACAATAATTTGCAGTAATTTAATATTTGACCATGAAAATGTATGATTGACAGGAAAATAATATTTCATCCTTCACTGAAATTAGATTATCAATAATACTTAAGTACATCCATTTTTTGTATCGTTTGAGTAATATATATCCGTTCTAAAAATTCAAATTGCAACATATGCGAAAAAGATATTTTTATTATACATATATTTATATAATAATATAAATTTAAAAACAAATAAGATCATATAAAGATGTTGGAGAAATATTTGATTTATTAAAGAGAGTTTTTAATTATAGAATTTATCTTAAACTTTTATATTTAATCCAATGGCAAAGTTTAATTTTAAAAATATTACAAAATAAAAAGGTAGAACACAAAAGGTAATTCAAAAATGTTAATATAGACCAAAAAATAGATGTTTAGGCAAAATTATTTGAAAATTAGATATTTAGGTAAGAGAAAAATATTACAAGCCAAAAAACCTTCTTGCTTTGATTAATTACAAAAATGCCATTGATTTAATATTTATTTTATTTTATTTATATCTCAACATCACTATTCATTTGATGCCAATAATATTGATCATTCATCAATGTCATGTCGATGTTAAATAATATAGTATCGTCATAAGTTTATAATTTAACCAAATTTATTTTACATGTTTAACATGACACTAACGAGTTAACGAGAATGTTAAAGAGACAAAATGCTAATGATGTGCATATTAATGGAGTAAGAAGATGAGAGACTAAAAATTAAAGACGACGGAAAAAGGATAGTACAGTATTTTCATTTAACTTTTTTTACCGTAAGAACAGTAGTCATTTTGTTCACCTAATTTTCCATTCTTCTGTGTATAGATTGTGATATTACCAAAAGTAAAGGAATGCAAATCTAAAATATTACTATTTTTCATATAACAAAAATCATTTTAAATCTTTTTTTTTCTTAAGTATTATATGGCATCTAACTACGGTAAGATATACATGACATCCATGTCATTACTCATAATGATATTCAGGGCAAAAATAATAAACATGTTAAGAAATCGTTAGGCACTAATCGGTCTGTCGAGCTAGGCCTAGTGCCTAGCAAGAAAATCCGGGATTAAACGAGGATTAACCGGAGACTAGTGTTAGGGTTATTTTATTAAATAATAAAAATAATAAATATATGGTATTAATTATATGTATAGTTTGATTTCTGTTAATGAAAAAAAACATAATATAGCATACAAAACTATAATACTGGTTTCAAAACTGTAGTTAATAAATGAAAACATATTTCTAAAGCCAAAATTTGTGATTATTATAAGTTTTTGAACATAAATTATTGTAAAATATCATAAAATTATCAAAATGTTTAATAACCGATAAAAAGAGTTATTGCGGGGATTAGTCATTAGTTGGGTCTAGCGATAACACTGGAGGGGAGTAATCGGAGATAGGCGGAGATTTTTCAAACAGTAATCAGTAGATATATTTTCCTAGAGCTGGTTCTGATCGAGATCGAGGATCAGTTTTGAGTTTCTCTGCCTAGTCCCTCTGCTAAATTTGTGTCGGAATTTCAATAGATAAAAAGTGTATGAAAACATATGATAGACAGAACATTGTTCTATTTCATATATTTTATCAAACCTTCAACGTTCCATAACAATTTAATAAAGACCAAACCAAAACAAACCAAAATAAACCAAACACCATCCTACAATGCCTTCCTCTTGCAGCCAAACAGATATTATGTCTAAACAATTCTCACCGTATTGGGAATTCTATGCAGCCATTGTGGGAAAACGACCGAACGAAGCAAATTTTCAAACTGTGTTGGTTGATCACTATGTTCCAACTTACTCTGTAGCACAAACTCTCCTTTGTGTAAGTTAACAGAAAGCAAACTTTGTTGCATGTTGCTTTCAAAGTAGACTATATTAGCATCAAAAGGGTTTATTCCTAAATAAAAATAATGCGAACGGTAAGTGTCAATGAAATCCCAAGCGATTTCAGATACTAGTTGCCATTCCCAACTCTTTAGCCTCCATACACATAACTTATCCTCTAGTGTTCCATCAACTTTGGTTACAGGGACTACGTTCATATACACGAGCGATCCTTGACAAGTTGAGCAAGATCTATCGAATCTTGTATTTTTTCCTGAATCAGGGAAACGCGTAGTGCGGCCCTGGATAGTGTCAGTACTAGTGGCGTAGAGATTAAAGGATACAATAACACCTTTACCCTCGCTATCGCGGGCAACCAAGTGAAGACTCTCGTGCAAGACGAAGGTTAATTTTACAAACAAAGAGGATATATAAGAATAGACAATATTGTAGTAACTCCACAAGCCTGTCTGAGATGAATATATCAACAAGTTGTCTTTGTTGTAGTAGAGAACAACTTTGTAGTCCAAAAAGACTCCCTTGTCATCAATTCTTGTGGCGATTCCCATGGGCCATGAGAAGTACTTACTAGCATGAGAAGGTAGTTGTACGCATTCATGTGTAATTGGATTAGCCACGTACAAAGTTTGGTTAAGGACTCCACTGGTCAATATCAATCCAACTTCAGCGTAAGACCAGACTCTGTAATCGTTTCTTTTGCTACCAAACTTCTTGGTTAGGAATGAAGAGATGTAAGAGCCTAGAGAACGTTCAAGCCCCCAAGTGTTGAGTCCATTGTAAGCTACGAGTTCTTTTCCATAATCCCAAGACATGAGCGACCATGATGGTGGCGTATGTGAGTTTTGGTGCGTTGACCTAAACACGTCACGGAAATATGGAGACTCCAAGATCGATTCCCATTGCTTGCAAACAAGTTTGAAGGTTGTGAAAATCTTTATAGATAATTTTGAGAGTATGATTGCCAAAAGATCCTCTGGAATCGAACTCATATCTTCTTCCTCTCTCTCTCTCTATCAATGAGATTAGGGTTTTTGTGTGTGCTACACGCCTACACTATATAATATTGGTAAAGACATATTAATTAATGAAATTATGCAATAGAAATAATTTAGAAAATAATACATAATTAGTGTTTCATAATATGTAAATCATTCGTGTTAATGGTAGCCTTACCATTTTTTTCTACGAGTGCGTATTATAGATATTAGGAAACATAGGTGCATATATAGTCTCATGAATTATTGATTTTTGTATATTCTACCAAATAATTTACTTTACTATTCTAAATATATTTACTTTCTTTAAACTTAATTAAGTATATTATGCAATTTTTTATATATAGTATTAGATAGATTACGTTGACGAGTTCATTACATGTGGAGGTAGCTTTGGTTTGGTAAGAAAATAATAAAAAACTTGTAATTTTGGTTTGGTTAAACTCTTCATCTCCGAATTTGATTTAACGGTCGGTTTTTATAATTACATAATTTTGGAGTCAAAATTTTGTGCTATTTGCAACACTCATATTTCATTGATCCTCTACCTACTTCTAGCTAGCCAATATTTCCCTATTGAACTATGAGTATAGGGAAACATAATTTTATATGAAACTATACAACTAACAACAGTCGAGTTTAGTAGTCCTGGGCATACAAACAAAACTTTGCCCGGGTCAGTTTGGTTCAGATAATTAGATTTTGCTTTTGTTTCTAAAACAAAACCGACTAAATAACATGCCTGACTCGAACGATTTTGCTGCCTAATATTTACATATAAAATCTCTTAAAAGTTAACAAAATTAAACACCTGAGATTTAAACCGCATACTTTAATCCTTAAAACAGAGTACTCGAGCACTGGAATACGACATAATTTCAAAATTTGTTGTCATTAGGTAAAATTTTTATATATATTTGATGTCTAAACTAAAACATCAGTTTCATGGGTTTTAAGTTTTGAACTCCCGGTCCTGACTAACAGTACCGGCTATATCGGATGGAAGACAACATAAGGAAACTCATAAAATTATTGCATCATAAAGATCAACATTAATCATAAAAATTAAGGAAATGGTATATGGACACATGATAAAGAGTAAGAGTTTTAGGCATAGCAAAATATTCATTAAATTCGATTCGATTTAAAATATTCGGATACTTATAAAATATTAAAGCAAAATAAATAGAAAAATATAATATTTGTAAACCACGAAGCAAATAACAAATATCGTTTTTCTTAAAGTCGGATATTTGATTCGATTAGTGTATTTTTAGATATACGCAAATCATTATATAATTCGTGTATTTGTATATTTTGTGCTTGTATTAAGATTATACATGTGGTAAAGAGAGGTAAGTCCTGCCACTTGGGTCCGGGTACCATTGGCCACGGGGTTCGAGATATAACATGGTTTCTCTCGGCCCCAAAAGATTAGTTTTTAGACTTAAAAAAAAAACTATTAGAATCACTCCTGAATTATTAAAAAAAACATGGTAAACGCTTTTATTAGCCAAAATGATTTTATTAGAAAAAAGTTTCAACAATAAATATAAGAAACTAACATCCATCCATCAAATGTAAAAACGACGTTTTATTATCTTCAACCCTTCACTATTTTATTATTCAATTTACTTAAAATATTTCTAACCAGAAAAACCCAACTGTTCATAATTTCATATTCGTATATCATTAAACAAGAAATTAAAAAGAAGAAAAAAATTTGATAGACTGAAACAAATTTATTCGTGAATATCAAAAAAAAATTCGGATACTCGTAAATTTCTGAATCGAAACAAATTATAAAATCAAATGACCAAAAAGAAGCTAATCACAAATTTTTCGAAATATTCCCTTCGCGTCCAGGCCACAGTAATGTGTGTCTCGTCAGTCGTCATTACCCATCAGCAACTATAATTTCATAGTTTTGATGTCTTAACGAACATGAATCTTTCTGATGATGACTTCACACCGTGTTAATCCAAACCGACTACAAAAGAAAATATAAAAAGTCAAAAAAAGTTGGACAGGGTCACATGCACACTCAAGCAAAACAAAACTTGTTAATGTTTCTTCGATAAGTTACCCATTGGTCTCCTACTAACCAATAACAATTCCACTTTTTTCAATTCCTACTTTTTATCTCTTAACTTACAAAGCAAATGTTGTTCTTTTTTTCAACTCTTTATGAAAGTCATAGAGATAGAGAGTTCAACAACATCTCTTGTGGTGAAGAAAAAAAATAATTTGTTGTTTTCTCTATAAGCTACCCATTCATTTGTCTCCTATTTTTTCTCTTTTGTAAAAAATATACAACACGAGAACTTCCCGAAAAGTTATCTATCCTAATACTTTTTTCGCGTAAACATGTTTTACAGTAGAATTCTGATAGGATTCGGTATATTAGTGTTGGTATGATCGCATTCTATTGATCTCCTACTAACCAATTAAAATTCCACTTTTTACTTCATTGCTAACTTTTTTTTCAATTCCTACTTTTTATTTTATTACAAGACAAATGTGTTTTATATTTTCAACTCTTTATGAAAGTCATAGAGAGACAAGAGAGTTCAACAACATCTATTGTGGTGAAGCAGGTAGTTGGAGAAACTCATTAGTTATTCCCCCTAGTAATATGAATACATATTCATATCATTTTGTTTTGTCTGCCTTATATATATAATTAAATAGTAGAAAGATTGGATTATATAAGAAGACTTCGAATTAAAATATATAAAAACGCGATACACAAAATCAAAATAGCAAATATTCTTGGTCAAGAATTATTGCCCTTCGCTTTACACACGTATACAACAATCCCATATATATATATAAACCTCACAAAGCCATTTCTACTTAAACAACCTCAAATAACAAAATAAGTTACAAAAAATAAAAGTTGTAAAAATGGAGAAGAAGAATGTGTTAGTGTTGTGTATGATCATCTTGGTATTGGTTATCTCGTCTATGATGGTTGAGAGAGTTGATTGTAGAGCTTTACGACCAAAGAGAGATGTTAAAGGACATGATCAGTCTTCAACGACCATGGAAGTGAAGAACAGTTCGACGAGACAAAGTACTTTGGGGAAGAGTTTTGCTTACCGGTTAGCGTCAGGGCCGAGCAGAAGAGGACGTGGTCACTGATCATCAACAATTGTCACTTTTTTTAAAAAAATTTTTTTTTTTGTCTTAGCCTTTTTGTTAGAGTAGATTATTTTTTATGTGTAAATCGAAAGTTTTTGTTTTAGCCAAAAAAAAAATAGAAAAGAAGAGATTTGGTCAAGGAGATTTAACGTGTAACAGTGTGAGTTCCTAGTTTTTTCGATGTAAATATTTGAATATTGTTTGTTTGTTTCCAAAGGGAATAGTAATATATAGAAATGGTAAAACAATGTTTAATTTAGAGGAATTCCTCTAGATACTATTATTTTGGTTTTCTTTCCAAAAAACCACTACAATCAAATTATTGTTCAATGGTATGAAAATTTTAAATCTTTGGTTTGGGTTGATTATTTGCAATTTAGGGTATAGTTTTAGGAGGTATGGTTTAATGTTTAGAATTTAAAATTTAGAATTTGAAAATTGAAAATTTAAATTTAGTTTTGTGGTATTTTTGTCCTAAATGATGGTATTTTAGAGAATGACCCTTTAATTTAGCAGTTAATTATCATTTTACATAAAAAATGAAACTTATTAGTTTAAAATGCTTTTAATGACGATCTAGGTGTGTGCTTGTATATTAGGTGGCTATAGCCTATAGTTATATAGTAGTATCATTTATTTTTAAAACGTCTAAGCTATATATACAATAGTGTTTTGTTGTTAAGAGGATTTAGACGATCTTAAATGATTCTTTGATGTTCCTAGACGGCTCTATATAATATTGAAATAGTGTTTCTCTATATATATTGCGTTAAATTTTTGATAAAGCGTCTCAAGTTAATTACAAGTATGTAACTATTCTATTGGTTTGCAAAAAAAATATTTTATTTTATTTTATTTTTTTTTTCGTTAAAGGGTTTAGGCGTTCGTTTAGACTCCGTCTAGAGATTAGACATTTTAGCGACGCCTAAAATACCGTTTAAAATGGAATAACCCTAGTTTAATCGATATATTTTCTAATTTTTAACTACCATGTTAGTCTAAACATCCATCTTACATTTTTCTAGATTTGGTAAGCTTCTCACATTAAGAGGGCGATTGGTGATGACTTTTAAGGCTTTAAAACCATTTTAAAGCCTTAACAGTAATTAATTTGCCAATCAAGATTTTTTGCTTTTATTTTTTTTAAAGCATTAAAAGTCACTTCTTTTTTTTCCTTCTTATTTTTCTCATTTTTCTTAAAACGTCAAAAATCTGACTTTAAATTTAATCAATTAAAAAGATTTATTTTTCATATCCCTATTACATTTAAAACCTTTTCACAAGTTTATAAATATATTTTATATATTTTATTTTTATAAATTAATTACTTTCATTTTTCTTGTTCTTTTAAGATCCATTTCAATAATACTTTTATTTTATAAATTCATTTATGATATAATGTATATTTATTAGAAATATAAAATAATAATAATAAAAATAACATACATAACTTTAAAAGTTGTTCATTGCCAATCAGATTTTAACAGTAAAAGTTTCTACAGTCAAAGCATTTACAGCCAAATTCTCTGCAGCCAAAATTTTAAAGTTAAAATCTCTACAGCCACAAGTAACAATCGTTACCAATCGACCTCTAAGTATAATTAAGGAACCCTTTTTAGGTTTTACAAAGATGAATACACCTTTTTCATATTCCTTTAATTTACTATTTAGGGTTTGACATAGCTAACCAAAGCAAACCAAAAATTTCAAAGGTGACACAACTAGTAGTGTTGTGTAATGTCAACCATTACGATAATTTGTTTCTTTTAGTTTTGAAGTTTTACTTTTTCATCACCATATGAGTAAAGATTATATTTCTAATATGATCTTTCTCAATAGATTTGTAACTATTTTTTCTCTTTAAAAACAAAAAGATTTTTTCAACTCTTTATGAAAGTCATAGTTGAACAAACAAATCTTTGTGGCTAAGCCAGGTTGTTAGAGAAACTCGTTCGACTAATAATATAAAATACACGTTCATCTTATTATATAAAATAGTAAAAAGATCATGAAAACATGATTAAATATGCAAAAACGCGATACACAAGATGACAAAGTCAATCATTCTTTGGTCAATATATAATGCTCTTTGGCTTAAACACGCACACAGTAATTGCATATTATATGTATATATACACAAAAGATCACGAATCAAATCTACTTATTCTCAAAGAGAAAGAGAACAAGTATATAAGATAGAACAAGAAGAAGAAGCTAGAGAAGAAGAACTAAAACAAAATATGGAGAACAAGAATGTGTTTGTGTTGTGTATGATCATCTTGGTTGTCTCGTCGTTGATGTTTGAAGGAGTTGATTGTAGAACTTTACGATTGAAGATGTTAGATGATGAAGCCTTGGTGAGCATGAAGGTGAGTAGTAATGGCTCGAGAAGTCAACGTCCTTTGGTGAAGAGCTTTGTTTACAGGTTAGCGTCTGGTCCGAGCAGGAGAGGACCTGGTCACTGATCGATCAAAACAACTACACCACTTTTGGTTTTTTTTCGTTGTGTTTGATTTTTATCTTTTTACCCGTTGGTTGTGTTATAACCTTTTTCTTTTAATATGTGTAAAGAGTTGTTTTTTTGAAGGACATGTAACATGAAGTTCCGAGCTTTACCCATCAAAGTTTTTTTTTCCGAATCTTAGCAACAAAATACTGAATCTTATTTACCCATCAATTTTATGTAAATGTTTGGATTAATATTTTACAAAATGGAATGGTAATGGTAAAATAATGTTTATTTGGATGAAAATGACATAATGATTCGATTTTTTAGTTGTTTATATATACAATGACCCTATAATTTAGTTTCGATAATAGAGTGGATTAAAAAAAAACTGGACAATGTATAACTAATGAAGAATTAATAAAGTCTTATAGTTTTTTATAGTCTTGAGTTTGAGGTTATTTTTCTTGAAATATGTACGTAAATTTCATTATGGAATGAGAGGGTTTGTCATTAAATAAGATAGTTTTTAGTGTAATTCTTACACTTAAGATCTTGCCAATAATCTTTGTCTAAGTATCCCATATTTTACCTGATCACTACTTCCTTATAAATATGCTTCTTAATTAAGGTTAAGCCAAAAATTCTAAACAAGATTCAACTAGTAGTGATTGTGTAAATGTCAACCATACTTTATGTATGTTGTATATTAATTCTAAGCTATAAACTGTCTTTAGAATGTTAGAAATGATGATCAGATCAATGACCTCAGCATATAATAAGTTATATCTCGACCATTTGAAATATGATATATACATTATATTTGCTCTTTCTAGTGTGTCTTTCCCATGATTGTTATAGTAAACAAGAGCAACAAATTGGAATCTATTCCGAGTTTGAGAAATATATATGAACTTTCTATCGAATGATAATTACATGTATAGAAACTTTTTTACACTGGTGACCAAAAACAAAAAAAAATGAAACTTTTTTAACACTAGAAACTGATATGAAATTATAAGCTTTTTTCAAGTATAGAAAATGTCTTTAACTTTTATTTTCTTTCTTTGTGACAAAAATGAAACACCAAAAAAAAAAAAAAAATTGGAAATATTTGACCACTGACCAGACTTGAACGTTTGAACTTTTTCGAATGTCTTTAACAAAAGTTGGGATTTCAAAAATCAAAACGCTCCAATAAAGAGTAAAAAGACAAAGAAAAATGAAAGAATCTAACAAATTTTAAAGCTGAGTCTCTCTACTTCCAAGACAAACAATAACATGAACAGTTCCATGAGTTACTTATAAAGCAAATAGCAAAACCTCTAATTACTCTAAGAGCATCTCCAACCCACCTCTATTTCTTCCTCTAAACTCTATTTTATAGCAAATTTTGCTCCAACCCACCTCTATATCCACCTCTATTATAGAGATTGCTATTTTTATCTCTATATATAGAGGAACTCTATTTTTTCCTCTATAAATAGAGGTGAACTATTTTCTTACAAAATAGTCCTTTTAATCTCAAACTTCTTTTATTTATGACCAAAATAAATAAAATAAATATATTTAATAACTAATAATAATATAAAATATTTTAAAGGTTTCAATATAAATATATATTCTAAAATTTGAGACTACCATTTGCAAAAGTTAATATATATAAATAATAGATTTTATTTTTAATATTCTAAAATTTGAGACTACCATTTGCAAAAGTTAATATATATAAATAATAGATTTTATTTTTAT